GAGTTTAGAAGCAACTATTTCCCCTACAATGCTAGGTCTAGCACTCAATGCGGGTTACAGTGACTTACAACATAAATTTGGTGCGTCCAACTTTCAGAAATTTTAGAATAAAATTTGAGCAAGAATTGTCGAAACACTCACCTACAGTAATTTCGAATAGCTATTTCACAATCCCATGTCTCCTGACAAATATAAAGTTCGAAAAGATGAAATTTTCTTTTGAGTGGAAACCAAATGTCTTTCACAAAAACAAAAATGTAATACGTGTCAAAAGAAAAAGGAAGATGATGAAATAAAATTCATACACGTGGTTGAAAAAGAATATGAAGGAACAAAATGGACCCAAATTTGTAGTACAACTTACTTTACTTTTGGTATAATTGCTTGATGCTTTGATAGTCCTTTTCTTGTTCACTTATAAATAAAAAATAAATAAAGGTAATAATATATATATATATCCGGTTATTCCAGGTGATTAAGTTATTAGTACATTTTAGCATAATTGGTATTTAAAAGATTATATGCTCGAATTTAAACTATTGTACATATGCTTTCCTGTTCAAACAAAACAAATTTTATATTAAAGTATGTGCAGCTACTTCAATTCTTACTTCAAAAAATTCCACACGTTTGAATTATAGATGCACCTCTAGAAATTACATAAGACCCGGAATGGTTTTAGTGTCAGCTAGGAGTGGCAAACGAGTGGGTCAAGTCGAAAATGAATTAAATAAAAATGGGTAAAATACTCTACTCAACTCATATTTTAAATGGGTAAAAACGAGTTACCCAATGTATAATATGGGTATCTATATTTACCCATATTATTCCATGAATAAGTTTCTCGCATGCTCAATGAGCTCCAAAATGACCAAGTCATAAAGCATTTCAAAGACATTAAATGATCAATTTGGATAATGAAGATGATACTCAATACAAAATGACCAGTTTCTATTACATGCATCTGGAACACTTGTGACTTGACAATTAAGTCTGCCTAATCCACCAAAATGAGTACCTAAAAGTCACATTTGTGGACAACATTTGTGTACTTGGTCATGACCTCTAAAACCCCTATGGTTTGTCCAAGTATGTTAAATATTGTTGCTACAATGTGAGATGGTGTTAGGCCAGCTTCCGCTAACTGATCAACTGGAGATCCATGGTTAATTGCTCGGCAGCATGTTAACTCTAAAAAGACGAAGATGTTGCACCTACGAGGCCACCACTTCCAACAAAATTTCCACAAACTCTCAGTGATTTCTGCTATTGTGGATTGTCCTTTGAGATGCGATGATCTGACAGAAAAAGAAAACAAAAAAAAAACAAGATCGTAAGTATGCAGAAGTTTTTAGATAGCTATATATGCATATGCAGGATATCGAAAAACTGAATTTGTTTTCTCACTTTTCACACACACACACACCGAGTTTAGAGAACTACTACCATGAGGACGGCAACGCCTTGGTTAATGTAGAGATTACCATTAACTACAAAAACAAATACACCTAAAGAGCACCTTTTTCCAAAATGATCAAACAAATCTCAATGTGCTGCTATTAAAAGAAGGAAGATGGATTTTGGAGAGTTACATATCTAAGTTCAGAAAGATGAGAACAGTTGATAATAAATTGTTATCAACAACAGAGAGTACTAAGAACAATATAAAAGAAAGGCAGAAAAATGTGAGTTGCTATTAAGTCTTACCTCTAAGTTTATCAACATAAGGTTGAAGGTCAACAACAATCTCATCTTCATCAGAATCTGATTCGAATCCATCAAGATCTTAAACAATTTTTCAAAAAAAAACAAGTCACTACAGTTATAAATGCAAATTCACTAAATTAAATGAAACAAATGAAACTAGAGAAGATAAATTTACCTTCTTGTCCATAGATCCAATCCCTAGTACATAGTTTCGCCTCAGCATTTGCAGGAAGAATAGAACTTCGAAACTTTCCAATGACACGACCGCCGGTGCTAAATGCAGATTTAGAGGCTACTGTAGTGATGGGCACACTCAAAACATCCTGTGCCATTAATGAAAGTTCGGGATACCTTAGTTTGTTATCCTTCCAAAATCCAAGTACATCTAGATTCAGATTTGTTTTACGATCGACATTAGCTTCTTCCAAATATAACTCTAATTGTGTTTTAACTGTACTCGACTCTAACTGACTTTGAAACACATCAAACTCCTCTAATGCTTCAGTCATTCTATTTCTACTACTACAAGCATGCTCATCTGGTAGCGAAGTTGACAACGAGGTTGTAGCAGATGGTATCAAGTACTAGTGTACTTGACCACGCTAGTATTATACAGGCGCAAAATTGCAGCAGCGCTATCAACTGCGTTTTGCAACTCAGCCTCATCAGTTTTGTCCGAATCAATGCTCTCAATAGCACATTTTTCCTTATTATGAATTTAAACTGAGGGGCAGAGTTGTGAAACCGCGTGACCTGGAGTATGTCACCGACTCTGTAACGACATATACCACCAGTGTAGGTTGTGATCACGAGCTCGTATTTTTTCCCACCTCCACGTTGGCTAGGTCCAAGAGACGGGATGGTGAGTCCTGAGGGATTAATTCAAAGTAGCACATATTGGGCTAATAGTGTATAACATACTTCAGATGGCTTGCACATTGGGTTCAAATTGAGTCCAAAGTAACACTCGTTATCACATCCACAATAAGTAGTATTAGAAATCTGAAGAAATTAATAAGGCTATATAACATGTTATCGTGTATATAAAGTAATTAAATCTTGCTAAGCAAATTTATTTACATACCTGTCACAATCACATCCAAGTACTTTGTATTTGGCCAAATTCTAGTAATAATCCCTTCCCAGTTCTGGTTTTCGCATTCCTTGATAATGAAACTCCGCGAGTTCATGATTTGGTTTGAGTATTTTGGAGATGAATTCCCTAATTGAAGGGTCAGAAACTCTGAGATTTAATATCCCAAATGCGATATCTTTAGCAAGTTGTTGCCAATTGAGTTGAAGAAAATGAATAGCTCGAAGTAGACCACAAAGCATTTGTGTACATGCTCTGGAAAGAGTCGACACAGAGAACAACCTCGTTGGGGCTAGTATACACATTGTAAGGATCGTAAGGCCTCTCATCTTGAGGAGGTCCCTTTTGTAGTGAAGACAGTTCTTGCTAGTTATGCTTTTATAAATAGAAAGTACAAGCCAAAATCAGGAGCATACCTGTTCACAATTCCAAAATCAGAAATGCTCAAAAATAATAATCATATATATAATGACAACTCTCGCAAACAAGGTAAATATTATAAGGCTGTGTACAGTAGTTATTTCCGTTTTAACTCATCTTGAGTTGTGGGCATCAACTTTCTCTCACCAGCAGATGTCCCCAAGCTACGAACAAAACAAAGAAAAGAGTAATTTAATTCAGTATGATAATTCATATCACTAATTTGAAAGATTATATACATGATATTTTCTTAGAAAGGTAATTATTTAATCTCACCTAGTCAGGAACTCAAAGATGGGATGAGAAATTGGAGAACGATCTCCATTATCAGGATGAATTGGCAATTGGCAATTCAGACTTGAATGTAACCCGGTCCGTAGCACCACCAAGGGACTTAGCATCTAGTCACAATACACTATAGAGAGTTTTTGGAACATAAATTTTTAATCTTCAAAAGTGGGGCCTCCATGCCTAAGGCTCGAGGCCCCACCAACCCGCCCGCCCTCGAGGCACCATGCCCTAAAGCCCCCCTACCCCCTACCCCGGCCTCGAGGCGTCGTACCTTG